AAATAAATGTTTACTGGAGGCCCTATTAAGACTACAGACATCATATATAAATATCATGTGCTTTAAAATAATTGGTTTCCATATTGTGGTGTTTGAATGAACTAAGGATACCTTTGTACTTGTTGAATGCTTGATTTCGAATTCTAAATACAGTACATTCGTTTGTGCTTATCTAGTACTTCTTGATCCGATTACGTTATTTCTGAGATTCTTAGTTCATACTATAATTCAAATACTCCTAATTATCACATTGGCGTAGCGATGGACCCTGTTATGTAATTGTTGGATATACATTCAGATCTCAATGCTCTTGAGGATTACTTTGAAAGGTCCGAAATTTGGGCTATGACCAAGGAAGATGATGAGGATGCTAATATTGTAGCACATCTCCTAACATTCATCGGAAAAGAAGAATATAGCTTATTAAAAACTCTGGCTTTACCGGAAAAACCCATTTCGATTTCTTATAAAACTCTCAAGGAACTACTACTAGACTATGTTAAGTATACAAATTCCGAACGTGGTAAAGGAGGAAGATTTTGTAAAACGTCTCATGAGGATGTAAAAAATTCCACTGCACTATTTCATCCCAATCCAGTGCATACTGAAAATTATACAGATATTTCATTGAGTAGTTGCAATGCATTTCACGAAGATGGGCACAAATTTGATCAATGTTTGTCCTGTGGCGAGTCTCACCGATGTAATTCATGTGCACTTCTTAATTCTAAGTGCTTCAAATGTGGTGATATTGGACATATTCAGTCCATTCTGTGATACTACTGTACATCTTGCTGAAACTAATATTAAGTCTTGCAATTCTGATTCTATTAAGTCTAGTGTTTCTAATGATCACTAATCTTTATCAACGATTTCAAAAGACAGTGTAGAGTCATATAGCAGTTCGGAGTTAAATGAAACTCAGAATCCTTGTGAGACAACAGTTTCTAATCAATCGACTTATCGGACTTCTCATGTTTTTGTATAAGATATGGTTTTTCCTAATGATTCACATATTTCTGACAAAATTCCTTGCAAACCTGAAGTAAATATGTTGAGTGAACATAATTATGATCGAAAACCTGATGTAGTTTTGATAGATGCTGATTTTTCTAATGATCCATTACTCTGCAATGACATTCTTAATAAATTCGAGGAAACTATTTCAGAAGAGTCAAATCTTGATGTCATACCAAATATTATTTGTCCTCATAATGCATTTTTTCTTGTGGGAAACTTGTTCAATGAGAAGCACAAGTAATAAATGAGCTCGATTTCGATTACAATTCGGATGATTTCATATCAACTGCTGTTTATCTTTAATACAAAAACACTTCTAATGCTTACTCTAACCAATGTGAGAAATATGTTTTAAATGAAGCCACATTATTCATAACTTGGGGATATAAAGATCCAACATTATTTCGTGGGGTAGGATGGTGTTGGAGAATCTGTGGTTCAAATTCTAGATATTAATGATTTCAGTACAAAACCAACATGCTGATTGTATACAATTCCAGGTGAGTCTGTTCCGATTTCGTCTGTTAATTCCGATACTAATGAGCACATTCTAGATACTGCAGAGTTTCTATCCAATACAATATCGAAGAGACACAGGATGAACTTGAGGAGAAGAAGATGTACTATCAATTACAGACACCTAGACACCAATTTAAGCTGTGGTGGATGTGGTGTTTGAATGAACTAAAGATTCCTTTGTACTTGTTGAATGCTTGATTTCGAATTCTAAATACAATACATTCATTCGTGCTTGTCTAGTACCTCTTGATTCAATTGCGTTATTTCTGGGACTCTTATTTCGTACTATAATTCAAATAATTCGAAACATTTTACACGGGTTTTCGCGCACATGACAGATTGTCGAGGATTTCGGATTTTGTTATGTATCAGCTATTAACAGCATTTTCTCCGTCTCACGTGAATTTTCGTAATTTTTGTGCTTCCAACATAGCATTTATTCCAGTTTATTAGTTGTTTGACTTATTTGTTGCTCACAACCTGGGTGAATGTTTCATCAGCCTGGTGTGATGAAACTTTGGGGAAAAACCCAGTCAAATGACCTTCCCCAAAGTTTGGAGAGACTTCGTGGAAAACCGCCACAATCTGTGTTGCGTATCTCCATTGGGGTTAGGTGTGGTTCTGGGACAGAATAAAGGGCCTGTTATTTTAACTTCGAGACGATTAAGCAAGAATGAACAAATATATTCTCAGATTCAAAGTAGCCTTTGGCGGTCGTATGGACAGTAGAAAGACGGCAGAAACACCTGTTTGGTGTAAAATTCCATATTTTGCCTGATCTCCAGGCGTTAAAGTTTATTTACTACACCACTAAGTTGCCTCATCGATCATCTGCCGACATGGTTCAGAAATGGAATTCAGTGTCCAGTGCTTATTATTTCACCATTGAGCACTGAGTGAATAAAAGCTTACCGCATACATATTTTCTATCACGCCACTTATATTTCAAAAGACCATCTAATGAATGTGACTGTATTTTTGTTTAAATATTACCTGTTGACATAGCAGAACGTATAAGGATGCCCCGTAACTCGAATTAAGTTAATTGTTGGAGTTCTAGACTTGTTGGTATTGACTCCATTCTGCTATATTATCTCAAATTCACGAGCCTATTCTTTTCAAGCCTCTCTGACCAGGGTTGACTTATATCGGAGACGATTTAAAGACTATTTGAGTAATGACAAATAGAATCGTTAACGTCCTAGACAATCCTTCCTAGATGCTATCCATCCTTGGATACCTATCTCGAATTCCCTTCCAGTTCTCTTTTACTTTTGTCTTCAGGATTCAGAGTTACAGCCAACATCGAGATACAGTCTGATAATTTCGGCAATCTATGTTCTATCCACCACCAAAGCCTCTTTCTTAATTTCCTCTTCAGAAAAGTTGGTTTGTTTTCTCCATCAGTAGGCTGCTGCTGAAGGTATCCGTCCAAAGAACATTGAGTATCTCGCGTATACCATTTTTTGTGAATACTTATACATTTATGATGTTGGTTGTAATAGCTCTTCAGTTTTCAGCTCCGAACAGTAGAACTGTCTTGACGTTCGTATTAAAGACACTGACTTTGGTGTTGTTTTGTAGACAGTTGTTTTGAGTTCTGTATGTTCTCCATTCAGCTCCGTACGATATCACTGTTTCAACATTTGCCTTAAGAAAGTTTTATTTGGTGCTGGAAGAAGGTTTTTCTAAGTTTCAAATATCCATCGCTTTGATATCTCGTAATGTCACATATGCATCACATTCACCTATTTTGTCAGTTATGCTGCATCTGTATTTAGTGGCTTTCACCCTTTTCACAACGTAACCATGATGTGCGGTTTGGTCGTTGATCACTGTATTTTGCTTGACAATCTTTTTCCTCTGCGAATGTTCAGACTTGACACTGCGGATGCCGCCACCATTATGATAACCTCCATCCGTATTTATTACTGCATTTGGGATAGAAGAGATAACTCTCTTGCCGGGTTAAAATCATCCGGCTTTCCCTAAGAGGTTAGCTGTCATCGTCAATACCCCTGAAGCGCGAAATTCTTCACATTTCATTTCACAATCAGATGATAGAGGGAAGGTGAGTGAAATCAGCCTTGCTTGACATCAGTCCTCATGTGACATGAATTCGTGGACTGCCATCCATGCAATGGGGCCCTTCGTATGAGTTCTGTATGTTGACAGCGATCTGCAGTAGAATCTTCTGGAGATGGTTCCTAAATCTTTGCGCATCCTTCGTCCTAATAGCCATTATTGTGTAACTCACAACGGCGTTTGACTTTTGGGAGAGAATACGAGGCGTTGACTATAATTAATCACAGTATGTAACTGATCACAAACCAATTGGCACATAAAGCGAATACGAGAGAAAATGGAAGTACGAATGAATGTCACGGTATATCAGCTAATTAATTAGGGCTTTTACTTTTTATGCTGTATGCAAATGGATGGCCAAGTATAGTTAAATCTCAGGTGCTAAAATACGTAGATGATGTTAAAATCTGATGAGATGTAACAGATGTAGATTCACATGCACTTCAGGAGGACTTTTATTTTGTGATGAACTGGTTTAAAATGTGGTCAATGCATATCAACGCGGCTAAGTGTGTTTACACGCACCTTGGAAATGCAAAACTAAATAAGTACAGCTTAGGGGAAGAGTCAGTGCCTGTACTTCTATCCATCAAGCATCTTCAGGTGACAGAAAGCTACAAACTTAAGACCACGGTACACTGCCGCGAGCTAGTGACCAAGCGGTTAAGTATTCTATGGTCTTCAAGACAGACATTTACCAAGTTAGGTACTAATATGTTCACAATAGTATGTATAATAGTAGAAGAATTTAGACGTGAAAACTTTGTTCATTCCGCAGGCCTATGCTTGAAAATGACTCAGATATCTTGAGAAAAGTGTGAAGGGTAGCTGCTCGTTCTGTTCCATAACTCTCGGGTCTACCATGTTAAGAGGGTTTAAATTTTTGTTAGTGGTTTGCTTTTATTGTTCTTTGTTGATCTCTCAACTCCATATATTTGCCTTCACCTGTTTCTTACCTGTTGGCTTCGGTGATTCGTTGAGTAGAATCATCAGATTCTTTTCACCAATCTATTTTGGCAGCTTATCAACAGAAATATAATATGAGAAAGAAAGGCTGGATATTTCCCTCATTTTTAATAGTACTAAGAAATACCAACCAGCGTTTATTTTTCCACCACTTTTTTGTAAGAAGACGATATATTCTTCACGAAGGGTCAAAAAGATTATATTTATGTCATTAGGAGCCATTTCACACAATCAAAAACCAAACGTTTTTTACTTGCTTGAAAATGTGTCAAGTAATAATTAATGAACAATAACCCATCTAGTAAGGATATAAAATGGAAAAAACTCAGCATGAAGTTCTGTATCATCAAGGTGAAAATTTTGTTTGTTTATATCGATTTCTCTATTTAACATAGATTTTATCGTGGTGCACTTTCAAGTTTATTTATGCTTTTGACTAGTTTCTTAATTAACGCAAGTATTTTACAAATCACTCACTAAATAACCCTGTTAACCGAGCATCTTGTTATATACTTAAGGTTAACCCTAACTGGGACAATACAGTTCAGGAACTGTTTTATAAGATCTTCAAGTATAGTGTAACAAAAACCGTTTGTAGCATCATAATTTACAGAATTATAATTTTTTAGCGATGTAGCCAAATAAAAGCTCTTAGGCAACAGAAAGTTCGCCTTAAATAGTTTATTGACTTTTAATGAGATGTTTTCGTATAATGGTATATCCAAATTTATAGCACAGTATACGGGCTATAGCCAAATGATTCCTTTGTCAGATGAAACAGTTGGGATGTAAAGATCCCTAGAAATGTTTCCGTAGCTTAGCTAGAGCTTTGTTTTAATTTTGTGAATACAACAAGGTCTTGAAGCAATACAACTTGATGATATGAGTTCTATTAGTCTTTCTTAAAATTATTTCCTCATTATTTGGCATTAATATCGGTAGTTTTTGATGAAACGCTCACCTTGATTTCCTAAGAATTCATCGGCTACACCTAGGTGAAGTTTCTAGAAGCCCCCACACCGACAACATTTTGTCGAAATCTGGCATCAATGCTAATTGTTTCATCCGTGTTCTTGCAGTTTCTATATTTTTGAGTTCTTTTTTTCTTGTTCCAAACAGAGAAATACGCGTTCAAAATATAACAGATTATTAGAAACGTATGACACTGGTCTGACTAAGAAGACTTTAATGCCAGTCATGAGACAAGGTAAGATAATATAGTGTTTTTTGTTATCATGTGAAATTTTATAACCGTTGAAGATGAACTCTAATGCTCTCATTATCGAATTGAACACCTATAAACTGGTCGCCTTTTATCTCTACCGTAACTAAAAGGAAAACTGAAACTTCAGTGTGAACTGTGTGAAGGAACTTGTAACTGTTGATGCAAGTTCCAGCCTTGAATTTTTAACAAAGCACTAAAAGTATGGTTTCTTAACTGAAAGTATCCAGATAAATTTAGTATTGTGTCATTCTCTAAGCTAAGTTATTTAGTCGTGGATTTCATTGTCCTCTTGGATGTCACCCTTGTAAAACTGAAATAGAAATAATCTGTCGCCACTTTCCCACATACTGACTGACGACTTTGATCTCAACTGGTTATTGCTGTACCTTGTTCTACCATTGTTTACATACCACTTTTAACTGTCATTCTCTTTGAACTGATTTTAGACCTCATAAATGAAAAACAATAAAAGCTTTACAATTAAACTACTCGGTTGAATGAACATAATGCCACCAAGATCATCTACACGACCTACATAGCACTTCTTTCATCTTAGTATCGAAGACTGTCTCTACAAAACAAGGTGTGTAATACATCGAAAACTACGTATATATGTTGAACATCACATGTGCCAACTAACGATTTTTGTCGTTGTTAATAGCTGACTCCATTGTGCGATTTATAGATTTGTAAGCAAAGGTACAGTTTTCATTTGAAATCTTTAGGAGTTTCTTCCTCAGAAGTTCTTAAACCTCGGACAGTGCACTTTGGAATTATTGAATAATGAAAATACTAGACAGCTACTATATCATAACCTAGGCTTTATTAAGCATTGTCCAGTCAAGCTTTGCATAGAAACACGATCAGTACCTCAAATTACTTCAGTGATGAAGATACCTTTAAACCACTAGGTTAGAACCCGATGGTTTACACTTTAGTGTTATTCAATTTCCTATAGCTAAAGACCTACACACAATGATATTTCACTTTCATTCTGAAAAGGACAGGAGGCTTGATGGCATGTGTTAGTCCCGGCAATGATGGTCTCTCAGTTGATCCAACTTTCTTTCGAAAGAGTCGACGGGTGGAGCCTCAACCACGTGCTGAGGTAATGAATTTCACTCGTTGATGATTCGATGGAAAAGTAGATAGTCAGCTGACAAGTAATTTGTCCTGGGCTTGTGAACTTTTTTTGAGTGTCCTCGTAAATTCTCTGTTTTGAAAGACAAGAAAAATGTGGGGATATCAGGTGCAAATTTATCACTAAACAATTTGAAAACTCCAATCAAGTCGCCTCTAGGTCTCCGATATGACAACGGAGATAGATTTAGCTTGGCCAATTGAGCTTCGTTATTCCGGAAACCAGCTTAGTTGCTGTTCTTTGAACCTTTCCGAAAAGCTCACTATCTTTTTCTAAGCAGGAGCTAGCCGCTTGTATGCAGTACTCAAGTTTAGAACTCACAAACACTGTATACACAGTCAAAAACTTTTTAGTGTCGATGTGACTAAAGGCCCTACGTATTGACCATAAAGTTCTAAAACCTTTGGCGGCTATTACACGGTACTGTGCAGTGATCTTTAAGTCTTGACTAACGATGACTCCTAATTCATTGTTTGTCTGGACAACAGGTAGCTCAGTGTTATTCATCGTGTATGTATCCGTACCTTGATGACCAATATGCATCACAATACACTTGGAGGTATTAATCGGCAACTGCCAGGTTTGAGATCATTCAGATAATTTTGGGAGTTCTAAGCTATGGGTAACATTCTAACTGACTTGAATTCACTTAGCTCAATGTTTCTTCTTTTCTGAGAAGTTGGAAAGATCTTTGTTAGACGCCGTACGGATTCACAAGTTTTCACATCTCTGAACTTTCAAACTAAAACAAACAGCTCCCGAAATCGCGGAAATTTTCAATAATTCTCCAAGATCCACCAGTCTGTGCTGAATTTTGCCTTCAAACAGTAGAAAATCTTCATAGAAGAATCTCAGTTGATAAAAACAAAAATATTTTGTTTTATCTGTGGTTTCACTAGACATTAAAACAGGTTACAATATATAATGTTTAGTCTCCCAAGTTAACCTAAGTTCATTCATGCTGGTTATTTTATTATAATACTTATAATGTCTAGACGATTAGACCAGTTTCTACCATTACATGGAAAATATTGTCTTACATTATGAATTGTTTCATATGCAGGAAATGATGAATGAGTATATTCCTTCAAACATAAATTTGACGAAGAAAAATGGTATGCTTAGTGTCACAAAAGGTAAGCAGCCAACAACAACAAAAGTTAGATCAAAACTCGCAAGCAGGTAATAATTTCTAATATTTTTGAGCATTACACCATTTGTTAATCTTAAAATCAGGAAAGTTATTTTTGAAGATCCTTTATGCCTGAATGAGCTACTGGTTCAAAAAGAGGTTGATTATCTTAGTAATAACCACAATATCAATAACGATCTTTCCAATAAAACCGGTGGTAATTTAGAAAACATCAATGACGATATTGAACTAATTGATTTGAAAGGAAAGGTAAGCCATATTTGGAGCTTAAATGTGTTTGTAGTTAGTTAATATTTATACTTTTGACTTCTTTTTATTACAGAGTGGTTGGTAAGGTAATAAAATGAGCATTAGTTTGTCCTTAATCTGTAGAAACAAGTTAGCCATTGAGAGGATTTAACGGTTTTAAGACTTTGTGGAAAGTTTGAGTTCTGTGATTTTGTGCAAGGCACTAGCGATTAGTGCTAACTGTCAAGTTTCATGATCACAAATAGCTGAGACACAATAGTATTTATAATTCGCATAAAATTTAGCGATCATTTGGAATCCTTTAACTCTTAGTTTGTATTTAGGTATGCAAAAGGGGATGCATACATGGAAATACTGAACACAGTGACTAAAGGGGACTATGCGTATACATGTTCACATAAATCAACATATAATAATTTATTTTCATTACCATCTACTGGAAAATATCCAAAAAATTTGTTTTTAACAATATTTTCAAGGTAATGTGACAATTCAACTTGTTTGTTATAATGAGTAACAATATTCAAAATTGTGAACTGTTTCGCCCTCTGATTTCAGCATTTAGATAACGTTAGTACGCCCTACACTACTGTCACACAACCACACCACTTTAGCTATATTCTCTCACAAAAACATCTATTAAAAGACAGATATAACTGTATCTTTAAAATCCAGAGTATTACACGACAAAAAGATCATGATTTATTGGTGACTAAACAAACGCGTAATCACATTACTTATTGCAAGTGTTCATTGATGAATGGCATTCTTTAAACAAGCATACTCCTTTATCCGAATTGATCAACGTCACAAATTTTCGTTTGGCTAGAGTTTCGTTAATTGCTGTAATGGTGAAAAATTATGTAACATTCGACCACTTTTATCTTTCTATAATAGGTTCAAGATTTGTCAGTGCAGTTAGAAGAAATATGTAAATATTCACGTTCACCTTTAAATGAAAATGATGTATGTTTCTGTCATGACCTCGTTGGTGGAAAATGCTTATTACCACAAAATCGTACTTATACTGACTCTCCACGGTTACAAACCCCACCAAAAGTTTGGTTCTCTAAACCAGATTGTTGTCAGTCGTGCACAGTACCATGTTGTGTTAAAGCTGACTCGAGCTCTACAAATTTATTGAATAATCCGGAAAAGTTACGACCACTTACTGATGAAGAATTACTACAGGTATGCTTTTTAATTATTATACATTTCAACCGACACCGAGTAATAAATTGGAAGACTGTAACTACCATCAATTATTATGTTTGAATATATGCTTAAATTATTTGGCCATCTGTCTTGGATGTAATATGAACTCATTCAACAAGTTTTTAAAAGAGGTATTTCGTAATTCTAATCTAAAAATGCAATGAAGTAGTGAATTTGTTTTACCCAACAACCATTTTCAATAATTTATTGTTTAGCTACTACAATTCGAATTCTGTTAAATATTATTATATAGCGGTCAGTGTAAAGTATACATTAAAATTTAAGATGGAATCACCCAATGTTAGAAGACACAAAATTAGAATTTGTGGAGATCGCTACCTTCACCACATACCGTCAGACTCGAGGTTTTCAGTACCGAGCATGAGTCAGTTAAGTATTCAGCAGATAAATAACACATAAAATCAAAAATGTCTAGTTAAAAAAAGAAATGTATTCATATAAATTGTTTACGTTTTTTGCCGGTTTTTGTCCAGTGAACTCAGCGATCTTCTGTCAAACAAATTCTACTCTACAAAATTTCCTCTGCTATAAATACTCCCCAGTTCCACCATCCGACATATTTTTAAAATTTCTTATTAACTTTGCTCTTACACTGGCTCATTGTTCGTGTATTATCGTCTTCACACCATCTCAGTCCTGATCTTGCTTCATCCATTCGTAAGGAGTTGTTTTCCTCAACAGTTTATCTATCAAACACCCTTTAACATTTCATGGATTGCCTGAGATGTTTTTCTACATTTGGCCATAAATTTGATGTTGAGCTTTTGTACCCTTTGTCCAGAAAAGTATCTTCGTAAGGTCTTGATGAGTATTTTAACGCCCTATCTGTTTTCGGTACGTAATATAATTGATTTAGTGAGAGTTATAGCTACTAACTAAAAACGTTAGTATCCCAGCTACTATGTTTACTGAATAGATCATATACCCCATGACCTTAAAATATGTGTAATTAAACACAGTCAGTTGACTTTTTTGATATTGTATCTTCTGTGCTCCTGAATGTAAAATTTTTCAAATGGTTTTGTTGTACATGCAATAACACATACTATGTTTTTGAAAAACCTACAGATCGTTAACTAGTGAAAAATATTTTCTTAAACAACAAAGTTAGTCATAAATAACTCAGGTCCTAGTATAAATATAAATCGGTTCAAGATATCTTAGTTCATATAAGCCACACAGGATAAAATAACTAGCAAAACAAAATCTAAATAATTTAAAATAATAACATCCAAAGTTTTGGGAAATTGGACAAGCAAGTTTCAAAATGAAAATTGTCATCAACTATTCGCCAACATTACAGCGTTTTACAGGCACTTAGGGGACGATCACAAATTAAACACCTCAGCCACTACACAAATAGATCAAAACAAATGCTCATTAACAGACTGCGGCAAAATATATTAGACTGCTGGATGACCACAACTCCATATTCGATCACGTCATCATACGCATACACAAAATACATCAACTGCCCAAGCGACAAACTAAACAAATATCAGTCCTCAAAACACAACAACACATATAGTACGCGGTCAACAATCTACGTCAATGTCCGTTCAGTGGATGTGAAAAGATGCTTTGTACACTCAAAGGCATAATAAATCATTGCTACCTATTACATAGATGATCAGCGATCACTGAACAGGATACTAGGCCAAATTATAGAAAAACCAATTCCAAAAGTGATGATGGTGTCTCGGTAGTTGTGCTGTTCTTCCATGTACAGCTCTTCTCAAGAAGGACCTACCGGCTTCATCAGCTAAGTTTGGCTGGAAATGGAAACATGGCTTAAAATTAATGATAGATATTGACTCACAAAATTGATAATTAAAAACAAAGATTTAGACGAAGACAATAAATATGCGCATTTGTACCACTGTTATTGACTTTAATAAGTCAGCCATATATTTGACTTCATCTCAACGACTTACAGTTATAACTACGATACTACTATAAGCAAAACACTTCATTTGTCAATTATTATCATAAGCTTTATATTATAAGTTCAATGATATTTATCTGTAGAAATATCCGTCCGCTTATAATTCTAACCTTAAAAACATCTCAATGAACGATTCATTCGTTGAATAAGATAAATTGAAATTTGCAGAGAAATGTTCAATATGTCTCTGAAAGTTCTGATCATTAACCGAGTAAACATGAAAGTCCAAGTAACACTAAATCGTCATCATAAATATACACAATCTTTACTGAACATTTTAATTCACCTTTATATTCTCATTATTTCTTTCAATTAATATTACCTTTGTTAAACTTTCAATTCACCTAATTTTAAATATTTAATTTGATATAACAATAACTTAATATCAACCGTAAATGTAATTAGATTAGTGGAATGAAATATATTTTTTCCCTTAATCTATGGTAAAACAGTTATAACATAATGCATTAGCATATAACTATGATTCACAACATAATTTGGAGATTAGATGAATAAATAAAGCTTGTATGTTGACAGATGTAAGCAGTATATGACACCAGTCGGAAATGGAATATTTGTGAGCAGAAGGTTGAAAAGATTGAAATGAATAAAAGAGAAAATGAAACTGAAATCAATCAACATAACAACAGGAATGAAGGAACCATAACGCTTGTAAGAGACAATTCAAAGAAGATGTACAAATGACGTATCTGATGTATGATTTTCATATTTTACTCAACCATTGTGTGATTCGTTTATTTTCATTTCTATACTCGTATTTCTTTTTCCTTTCTATGTTTTGTGGATTTAAAGGATAATTTAAATGACATTAGACATCGTTTATCATTACTACAAGATAATTATGCATCAAAACATTTACCATCATCTGTATCAAATAAAATTGAACGTGATATTGATGAACATTTGGAAAAACTCAATAAAGAAAATTCAATACAAAAGCAATATCATGATTTACCAACTAATCGAAAATCAATAAATCAAACTATCAAGGGAAAATCATTAACTGATCAAAAAAAATCAGTCGATCATCAGTCTTTGAAATCGAAAACAAGTATTATCTTTTTCTTTATTGTCTTTTAAATTATTTATTTTATTGTAATAAACTAAGTGAGTAAAATGTTATAATATTACTTAATTAACTCTAAACATCTAGAAATTTAGAAAAGTTGGATAAACGTAGAAGTATGAACTGATGGATTGACCTACAAGTTTTATAAATGTAGCCCTAGTGATATCTACCTATAATCATTTCTATAGATGTATTTTATTAGATATATATATTAGCAAACTCAATATGCAGTGTAGAAGCAAGGATATATGTGAATCGTTTGAAGTTTATATATCTTATCAGCACAGCATGATGCAATTATCAGGGCAAATATCAAAGTAGTAAAACCAGTAACAATAATAGTGGTCGTACAAAAGATTGGGTACAAATGTTGTGATCGGAGGATTTATTTGTGGAAGAAAAAATGTATGGTGATATTTTAATACCACCATGTAAGGGAAGCTGAATGGTAAAGTCACTCATCATTCTGAGCCACTTGAACCAATGTTGTCAAAAATTGGTTACGATCATAGCACTGACCCTAATTAAGTGGCCTGCTCCTACTCATGCAACAATAAATGATTTCACGAATGTAACAATATTTGACACAAGTTAATCGTGGCTAACTATCTTTACACTGTAAGCAGTTTTAAACAACTTAATAGTTCAAGCAGAATTCAACATATGTGCAAATCAAAGCGAAATTCAGACAGTAAATGATGAAAAACATCCTAACATTGAACAAACCACCTCTCTTAAATAATAATCATGCCCTTGTTATTGACCAGTTTTAAAATAGACTTCTAAGAACCCCATGAAGCTGAGCTAGTTTCCACTGACAGTGGAATCCTTTGATGTTCCGTAGTTTCTAGTAGCTTACCGGCTGATGTTTGTTCTCAGTTATATTAAATCCACTAAAGAACGGAATGTCTTTATGTCTTAATCACTTTTATTATTTATCGAAATTGTCTATTTCAAATAATAATCAACTGGGTATCAGACTTTTCAGATATATAATTTCAAGCATCTAACTTTATCGCTTTTAGAGTCACTTTCGGGTCGCACAGTTATTCTTATTTTCTATTAGGAAATCGCCCTCCTCCATATAGCTATTTACCATTAATAATCTTACAACTGAAGTCAATTTTTTAAGGTTATAAATACAATCTGAATCTACGCTTTGTATTGTTTGTTAAAGGTTGATAATAAATTTTTAAAAATACTAAAAAGTAACCTATTGAATTTCCTGTCGTATTATTTCATTACCACATCTTGTTCGATATCTTTAGCTGATAAAGTATCTGTTTTTTTATTTGACCTTAGTAACAAAGGTAAACAATGAACCGTATTGTTTTTATTACTAATAATCAACTGAAATAATCGTATACAGTATTTCTGAGTACTCTTAGAAATCAAATGAAAGATCATATGAATATATGAGAGCCATAGTTGACAATCCTTACAAATATGCAACCGCATTTCTAAAGAAACTTATATTTTCTTTGATGTGATTTTGAATCGTACAGGGAATACTGGTTCTCTTACGATGCCTCTAACCATTAAACATTGAACAAGATAGTCAAAAATGTTGAGTTATGTAGCCAAATGGTCACTTTGCAACTTGATTGATAGAATCGAACCACTGATGAGTACTAAGCAACATGAAATTGGTTACTTTTTAATTCGGACTTACCTTAGACCGTAATTTTTCAGACAACTAGATAAATAGAAATCAATATTTAATAAATTATTCTAAAATAGCTAGTTAGGATACTACCATTTAAATAATTTAAATAAAAAAACAGCCAGGAATTAGCCAGTCAATGTAATTCATAATGTTTTAATATCTGAAGTTGATTTTTTGTCTCTCCATTACATTACTAAATTAACTTGCATACATAAGAATTTGTTATAAGTCCTTGTAATACTGTGGTGTGCGCAACTTATGTGGACAGATATAAGTAGTATGTAGTAGGGATAATTAGTAGAAGGCTTACCAGCATAAGATTGAAACAAACAGAACAAGGAGGAAAACGGAGAGCAATAGGAATAATAATAGAATTTAAAGGACAACTGAAGGAAGATGTATAGATGATGTATTTAATGTATGATTTTCATATTCCACAAAGGTCATTGTTTGATTGTTTACTGCATCTGAGCTTTCATTAACGACATTACGAATTATATTAGTAATCAGGAAATAACAACAGTTCCACTTATAAATAAACAATAGTATTTTACATAAATATAAGTTGTTTAATGATACTACATCACTACATAAATGAAATATTTATTTTATGTTCATTAATGATTCTGTATGCTGTAAAGAATCATTTCATATAATACTACTTATTTTTTAGTTAACTAAAGAATTTACTCACTTTAGCTTAAGTTCATTTTCAATCGACTGAAGTATGTCTAGATTATTCTTATATGATTCTGTTTCTTACATAAATTATTAGTGTAATATTTAAAACAATCCATACTTAATCATTAAACTCTGGGTTCGAATTCTTTTCATGTTCAATATGATATATAGTTGAACTTAGACTAATATTGAAATTTCACAAGTTGAAATCATGAGCCAATTGAAGCTAGACCACCATGGAAAACCTGGAAGCACTGGACGGCCGTTTTGTCCTAGTATGGGACTCCTCATGATAATAATCACCTGTTCACTGGTGACTGACTTAGGAGACACTCCTGGAGTTCTAGTGAGAAGCCGTTACCAGTGGAGTTCAACCAGGTCTGTTGTGAGATAGGAACTCACTGAAGACAATGGTGTATGGTGGCGCAACTTCGTGGATTGGTTGAAGTTAGACATTAACACCGTTGGATGCCGGCTCAGTGGTCTAATGGTTAAGTGCTCGCGCGCGAAGCCAGCAGGTCCTGGGTTCGAGTCCCGCAGGGTGCGGGTTCGTGGATGCGCACTGCTGAGGGGTCCCATACTAGGACGAAACGGCCGTCCAGTGCTTCCAGGTTTTCCATGGTGGTCTAGCTTCAATTGGCTCATGATTTCAACTTGTGAAATTTCTAAAAATCTCCACAAAACCCATTCTGATAATATTGAAATGTTATTCAATCAATACCAATATCAAAACGATTAATTAAATGAGAATTATTTTCCCTGAAACTGATGTTAAATTTACAATTTATCTTGTTGTTTTTTTCTTCTGTTTTTATTTATTTTTCAGAACCAACAATTACACAGAAACAATTTCAGTTAAATCAACAAAAATATAGAAAAGTTCCAAAAGAAAAATTAATTCATTCATCTTATAATAAATTACAATTACCTAATAATAAATTAAAATGTGAAAATATAACAAAATCTTTAAATGAAAAACAAGATAAAAACTTAATAAAAAATATCAGCAATTATGATAATGGTGATGATGATGATGATCCTGAAATAACTTTGGATAAATTAGAAAAATATTTGGAAACTTCTGATATAATTATGGATTCAAAAGTTGAAGATTTAAAAACAAAAAAGTAGGTTCATTTAATATCAGAATGAAGTTTTTGTGGATATTATAGTAATTTAAATAGTTAAAATCACGAGTCAATTAAATCTAGACGACCATGGAAAACTTGGAAGCACTGGACGGTTGTTTCGTCCTACTGTGGGACCCCTCAGCAGTGCGCATCCACGATCCCACCTCGCTAGATCCAAACCCAGGACCCATCAGTCTCGCGCGCGAGCGCCTAAACTCTAGACCACTGAGCCGGCCGGCATCCAACAGTGTTAATGTCTAACTTCAACTAATCCACGAAATTGAGCGACACATCTATCATTGCCTTCAGTGAGTTACTATCTCACAACAGACCCGATTGAACTCCATTGGTCACTGCTGGTTACTAGAACTCCAGGATATACTTCTTGAAGCCAATCACTAGTGAGCATATGTAGATTAATATCCGAAGGGGTTTTTGTGGATATTATACTAATTTCAAAAGTTGAGATCATGAGTCAATTGACGTTTAATAGCATAACCATTGATGTTAAATGATGTAAATCGTTTATGTTAGTAATTTTAATATTTTAGATAATAAGTATGTTACGAAGGTTTTCATTTATTAATGTCTTTTGTTTTTTCATCACTTTTCCTAAGTTTTAAGTAGAAGTACATTGATTTTGCTCTTTCACTTTTTACAATTCTGTTGATTAATTAAAAATTCAGTCTTAATCAACATTAAACCCTGAAAGAAATACACATTCCACCCAGTTATCACATCATATTATTAGTTGTCCCTTGGATACTGTGTTCACTCTCCTAGATAGTCTAGGTCACTTTTAACTAAATTTCATTTTTAAATACCTCAAAAAGAAGTATCTTTCCATGGTCTGCTTAATCAAGAAGTGACAAACACCCCTACGTCCTCTCCATCGATATATAAGGTCAATGTGGACTTTGGTAGTGAATAGAGATAGGTTTTTACAACCTCTAAACATTTATTCATACAGTGACTAGCCATTGAATAGCGAATAATGTTACATTATGTGATATCTTCAATTAATCAATTGAATACGCTAAATTATAACGTTGGTCATTTACTGAAGTGATCTAGTTATTTGCTGTCCACTAGAATAACGATTGAAAAAAGGTCAAATGTGAGCAGATAGTATTTCATAAAACAACGGGGTTTTGTTTGGTCGTACCGTAAGCTTTCTATTTGATGTCTTTATGTTAGTAAAAATCGGTGATTGGATACCTCAGATTTTATAATTTAAAAGAGAGTAATGGTATTTATCACCCAATACATTGAACAAGTTTCGTTTATAATTGTATTGTTTAACTAAGTGTATTTTTTTGTTGCTGTTGGGATTTCTGTTCTATTTATCTGCATTTTTGATCTAATACTGTAAAAATTTTATTTTACTATACTCGTTAGTATCGAGCTATTACTAAAGATTGTCATTAAGCTTTGAGTGATTCACATATCATTATTACTAACATTTCATCATGAATTTTATGAATTTATACTCTCCTAAAGACTTTTACAACCTCTCAATAAGTACATTGACTAGAGGTAAATGTATTTTTAACCTACATATATATTAGCTGTTGCACAAAATTACAGAATTGATAAGTGGAAATATCTAATTAATTTTTTTTCTTAACCATCAGAGAATTTTTTAATTTTTATTATATTGAAACACTGATAATATGAATAAAGTATATTCTTTCCAGTAAATCCTCATCACATTCGACAGTTGTACGTCTAAATGAATAATCCATATAGTAAATAACTTTAAGGCAAATACATAGCTTAAAATTATAGCGCGTACATTTGGAATTGTTTGTTAAAATAAAATAAATTTCTTAGTAACAAAATAACTAATAAATTTTTTTTAATTTAAGTGAATCTACACAAGTTAAATGAAATTATGAAGCCGTGATCAGTGGAGTTCAGTTCATGTCGGGGGGTGAGACAGTTATCAAATTCAGACAATGGATGAAGGGTTGCGAAAGATCATGGATTAATTGAAGTTAGATATTGACACCTTTGGATGCCGGCTCATTGATCTAGAAGTTTGGCCTTCGCGCGCGAGATTAAAGGTCTTGGGTTTGATTCTCGAGTGTAGGATTGCGGATGAACAATGCTAGGGAGTTCCACACTAGGATGAGATGGCCGTCTGGTGCTTCCAGGTTTTCAATGGTGGTCTAGCTTAGATTAATTAGTGAACTCAACTGTTAAAATTACTATAATCTTCACAACTCCCCGTACTGAAAATAAAGATTTATTATAAGAATGATGACAATTTTAAGACATACTAATGACTGATAGTCTATTTGGTTTCTTATCGTTAATATTTCAGTACTCAACAAGAAACAAAACTGGACGAAACAAAAGAAATGGTGAATGAACTTCGTTCAGTTTATCGAGAAATAAAAGACTTATTACTTGTAAGTTTTTCTTCTATTGAAAATAACTACACTTCTGTGTTTTTTTTTATTTTTTTATTTCAACACATAAATATTGGTACAAGGGGGCACCAAATATATATGCGCCACACCATATTTGTGTGTGTGAGCTGTGATACTGCCTGGGAGCTCAAACCGAAGCAGGTGGTTTCCTTAGGAGGTCCACACCCCGAGCTTTTGACCTAAAGGTACAACCCATAAGGCAGTGGAGCATCGTGAGGAGATGCAGTCCCATGGTAGACGGTGACCAACAATTGGTTCATACGCCATTTGTTCCCGCAGGATACTGTAGCCCATATTCAACATTGGTTTGGGATCCGGTTAAAGCGCCGGACATTCGCTTTTCGTTCTCTCATTTCTGTAAACAACACCCCCGCCACGAGAAGGCAATGAGTAGGACTTCCCTGGCAGAGGCTTTATACGCGTGACTGTGTGAGAGCATTTCGAGAGGGAGGGAGGGCCCACCCCACTCTCGGCCATACCAGGGCATTTGGGGGTTACACTTCTGGGTGGTTGAATGTAGTCCTCAGGAAATTCTGAACCACCTAATATCTCAATATATTTAACACGATATGAGGTTGCATAAACTGATAGTCATATTGTAACTATATCAGTTGAAATATATTAGTACTAAACAAACCAGCTAAACACTTGTCAAACCCATTGCATTATTTAATTACTGTCGTCTTCTTTTTTGAAAACGTGATGCTTGACTAACAAAATTTACCTAGAATTTTCAAAGAAAAACATTTGTAATATTGGAGGTTATTGAAATCACGAGCATATCTAAGCCAAATAACCATTGAAAACCTTGAAGCACTTGAAGGCCATTTCTTTCTAATAGTATACTTTTCAGTAGTGCACATTCACGACTGCACAGCCAAGAACCAAACTTAGAATCTTCACTCTCGCATACCACTGTGCTGAGACCCAACGATGCATTATAATCTAATGTATATATTCAGTAATTGAGTTTCTTTATACATTTAATATTATTTGACATTTAATATATTCAGGATAATTTATTAAAACGTTTAAGTCATTGTTCATATAATCACTGATTATCTTGCTACCTCACAGTTTACTCAATTGATTTTCATCTTTTGGAAATTTTATCAGTTTTATACTCATGATAATTTTTTTCAGAATGTTCGTAATCGAATTGATGAAAACAACAGTATGAAATTAGAACAAACAGAGAAAATTGATACAGTGAGTTAAGATGCCGTTTTTACGATGTTTCTTTTCTAATGTTTTATTACAAGTATGAAGGTGTAATTTTAAAAAAATTATCTAACAGACTAATATCTAAAGGTGACTCTCACAAAAAATTCAAGAATAATTTGGTTGTAGAAGTTTGGATTTTCCAGTTGTTGATGTAAAAGACTGTAATTAAATCATTCTCTTCACTTAATTGTACATTCCTAGAGGATTGCTTTGACAATATTATTGAACATCTACACTGGGATGAAGATTCATTCAGCTGAAAAGTTTCAAATAGGATAGAACGCGCTTCCTAGATTCCACTGCTAGCTATTATTCAAGTCAGTTTAGAAAAGTGTTAGAAGCAAACTCAGAACTCAATTAATTTGTATTCAATGGTTCATTATTTCATTTCTAGTGAACTTAAGATATATATAAGCATAGTCCACCTACCAGGATTTTCTATCGAACTCTGACCTGGGCAATCCTTCCCAGTTGCAATTCATCCTTTCATGTCTGCTTCCAATTCCCCGTCTAATGTGTTCCTTGGTCTTCCTCATTCCCCTTCAGCTGGAAGTTGATTTGTTTCGTATCGTAGTAGGTTGTTGCTGATGATATTCGGCTAATGGATCTGAAGTATCTTGCATAGACACTTGTGAAAAAATACCTGTACATTTTTGCTAATTGTTATAGTAGTTCTCCAACTTTCAGCGTCGCACAATAGAACCGCCTTGCTGTTCGTATTGAAGCTTCTGACTTCGATGTTGGTTGACAGTTGTTTTGACTTTCACATGTTGCTGTTCCATATGATGCTTTTCAGATAAGTGAAAGTTTTCACCTCTTCCAGAGCTTTTTCATCTAGTGTGATTTAGTTGGTGTTCTCTATGTTGTGTTTCGCAATCTTGATTTTTCCCTCGTATATGTTGTGGCTGACTGCTGTAGAAGATACTGCTACACTGGTTATCTTGACCTGCATTGGTTGGTTTGTATGGGATAGAAGAACATGGGTATCAGCGAAGTCTTAATCGTCTAGTTGCATCAAAGCTTTTCATTGTATTCCGTGGTTGCATTGAGATGTGGAGATCTTCATTGTCCAAGATCAATATGTCTTGTAATATGAATGCATCAGGCACTTTTTTTATTCGAATTATTTTCCTAACAAATTATCTTTCTAGAATACAAACTCAAACGCCTTACTATCAAACTCCCAACCTGTACTTACTCCTGGTACTTTACTTCCAAGTATTCGACTTGCAATGGAATATTCTGGTAAAACAATTTCACCTACAGATGATATAACTCAATTAATATCTAATTTACCTGATGATCCTCTTGTTAAAGCTTCAACTGCATTGTATGAACTTAATCGACGACGTAATAATCTAGAGAATAATCTTGCTGCTTTAGAATCTTCACATAATGATCAATCGATTTTCGGATTACTTGATTTATTAAATAAAGATAAGTGAGTGTATTGGATATTGTACATAGATACGTATATAACTGATTTATTTACAAAAATAAATTTTGTCAAATGCTATCAATAACTATGACTCAATGTTTTAGTACTCAACACAAAATCTCAAGATATTCAATGTAGTCCTATTTTAGATCGACAGTGTAAAACTATTGGTATGTGTTGCAAACGAAGACAAATCAGTATCTCATTATTTCTTGACTTTCACTGAACCTATTTTGAAAGAAAGCAATTTACGGTATTCTGAATTATTGTCTATAAAAATGCAACAGTAGTTTTTGAGGTAATAAAAAATAACTATCTGATAAAAAATGCAACGCTGAACTAATCTTTCTTATTTAACAAAAGATAATCGTCTATTTAATAGATATAAATGACGTTAACACCGAAATAATACATAACACTAACAATTTGTGATAAGTCTTGCGTATTGAACGCTATATTCGTCTCCTAAGCTATTCTGTAACCCCCAAGCTAGAACTAGACAGTGACCTGAACAACGAGAGAGAAGACGCAAAGTATGCGAGTGGTACTTTACTCCAAGGTTCATTTTAATACAGAAAATACAGGGTTTTTATAATATTTTTAATGTCCTTGGGTTGCTAGAAAATTTTGAAGTGCTACTAAACATAGTAGCAGTGTAGCAATCAGCCAATCAGAACCTCTGTAAGTGACGTTTCACTTCCTTGATATTTTTGGCTAAAACTTCAAGTGAACGCTGATAAAACGCTTCCTAGTGTTTCCTGATGCTTGCTTGTCTTTTGCAAGCAATTTTCTGGATCACTTCAACAATTTGCAAAATCAAAAGGAGTTCTAAGACCATTATAGAAAAAAACTAAACATAACTCTTTTGTACACAAAAATCAGGTTTGAACTAGTCAAAAATGTGTGCACGACTAAGGCTATCATAATCCATTATTTCAAACCTGATCTCCGTGCACAACAGAGTTCTGTTCAACCTCCTATTGTATCATGATCTTAACACCCCTTCTAAATTTACAGACTGACAGTTTCAATTATTACTTTATTCATGACAAATTAGGTTTCAAACAAAACTGAGTTTTATAATCAGAGATGATGGTGGCTAGCTGTGGAATCCAGGACGCATGTTTCGTTCTACTTGGGACTTGTCAGCTGGATGTGTGTCGAGACGCGCGTCATGGATTCCACTGTTAGTCACCGTTATCCCCTCTTCTATTGTTTGTAATTTAAGGCAATATTGAGACAATACGCACAGTATGTGCGTAGTATGTACATATGCCAATATGAGACTGATCAGTTGCAGTCCTAAACATCATTTGGAAGATTCAAACAATCAATACAAAAATGAAATCAAACTAAGTTTTACTTAAAAATCATTCTCTTTTATATAAACAAAATAAAATATAATTGGACCAGTTTCTTTGCTGAAAAATCCATCAATATTTTGCATTCTTTCTTATCTTTAACTGTTTTAAATGCATTTTAAACACTTTTCCCAACATGTATAGTCTTCCAAAGGAATTTGATTACTGCTGTAATCTAAAACTTGAGGACAAAGTGAAAGAATAATATCTCCTCATGAAATCATAAGAGATATCTCAATTCATAGAAAGAGGTTCAATTTGAAATCGAGATAATCATTTCTTGATATTCTCTCAAGATTACTAATTTATCGTGTATATATTTGAAGTACTGATTATGTATTTTAAATTAAATGAAAATGTGGTTTCTAACTAAACGGTAATGATTAGCTATCAAACAATTACTGAACGTTTGTTAATTAAAAAGTAGTTGGATGATTCATGACAGCACTGATCAATTGTTTCGCCATCATTTGAAACCTTTGGGTTAATAATGATTAACAGGACAATAGTTACGCTATATCCTGAACTGAGTGTTGGTAGAATTTCAAACCACCTTATTCTGACTAACTCATTTAAATACACTTCTCTTTTCGAAATTAAGACGTCAAATTTGCAGAATCCTGAAGATTTCTCACTAAGTTGGTGATGTGTAGGTGAGAATGATAATGATCAGTTGTTTGCTTAGTCAGACTATAAGATAGTCTGACAAGTACTAGATGAGTTATATATTCTCTTACCCTTATTATTACTATGATTGCTGTCGGTTTTTGGTGTGGAAATATACTTACTTTCTAGTCAGGCTAGTCACGTGTTCTTGATCTGAGTTGTGTTGATGTCCTGTAGAATAAACAATAGGAGGGAATCTAGTGTAGATATTCGTCTAAGGCGAATTAGCGTCCTATTCGTGTAGACGGTAAACCGAGTGTTATAAAAGTTGGATTTCATAATTCCATCCTTTCGTCAACTGATTTGAATGATAAACACTGTCTGTCATGAGATGGTTGGGAGGGATTGAAACTCAGAAGTATGATTTGGTTAGAGTTGGATTGAATAGTCAGTTAATATCAATCACTTGAAAGAGTCATAAACAACTGCAAGGTCAAACAAGAATAAGGTTGAACACAATGAAAATCCAAAATAAATAGACAGACATTGACATAACAAGGAACATCAGTAACCGATAAAAACCAACGTTTACGGAATAACCTACTTATCAAATGTGTGAACAGTTTATCAGTCAACTTTAGTCCAAAGTTTGTGCTAATGAAGTTACTTAAAAAGACAACATAAAACCGTCCAACTAGGGGAACGCAGCTTCACCAAAACCGCCTGTTTCATAACGTTTACGGATAAATTTCAATAACTAACTTGTATACTTTGCTGTTTGTTTGATAATATATAACCTTTTGTTTAGGTCATCAGCGGAGAAAGCTCGCATACAAGCTATGATAAATGACGCAATTGAGAAAGTTGTTCAAGATAAAGTAAGTTTCACGATTAATTTGACATATAAACTTCTAGTCTCCGGTACATGCTTTTCATTGTTTACTGAAGCTTTTCTGTGTATAAGTTACAACCATTAAAAAAATAATAGGATGAGTTGAATTAAGTGGTTGAGATTCATGAAAAGTACTCAGTAGGGCCATTCTACTGAAAGTTGGCATGAAAGTGCTTTGAATTGCCACAAGATAAAAATTTAATTATTACAAAAAAATAACTAATTTAGTGGAATGACATATTCCGTTTATGAAAGCAGTCCAAAGGCATTTCGCTTGCCATTTTCAAATAAACAATATGATTATCTGGCAAAGTCAACTTCAGTTTCGCATGTAACTTAGCTCAGTAATAAATAACCATGTTACATACTGTCACTTTTTAGTTGAATCTTATGTAATCGAACTCATTATTCTACTGACATAAGTCGTTACAGAAGAGTATAAACAAAAACGAGTTTTTAAATCACAGAAACTCCCGATTTTCTGTTCTGTACTTTTAAATTATTAAATGTCTTGATCAAAAATAAATTTTCTTAACGAAAGTTTTCATCACGGTTGGTGGATCTATTCTATACACGAAATTCATCTTTACTTAACTATAATAAAAGCATACTACTAACTTATATATAGTAACTTAAAAGGATTATCTAAATCATCCAACGTTAGATAACTGTGGACTCATCATTTTGATCCGGGACATGTTTATCTCTGTTTAAATGATACGATATAGCACAGACGTAGTGAAACTAAATATATGTTGCCGAAACGCCTATAGATAAATTTTCTATATCGTTAATAAAACATATAGTGGTAAGATTCAAGATCCCCAAAATTAAAGAAATTCATTTCTCTTCAAGTAATAGTGGTTAGTGTATATTCAGTTTTATCTATTTCAGTTGGTGAAAATTTGATGAATGGAATTTGCAAAACACTCATTTTCACTGTGACTTATCCTTATAGAAATCAGAAAAAAACAACAGATCAATTGGCCGCATTTCACGACTAACTCAACCGAAATCTCAATTAACCACTCAACCAAAACAAATGAGGGATACATCAACGTCTTGTAGTTCCCCAACAAGGTCAAGAAACGTGATTGATTTATTTCATCAACCTAAATTATACTCTACAGATCGTTCTCCGTCACCAGTAACGCTTACTTCTCCATGGCGTTTAAATAGACGAAGAGCTAAACGACCATTATATCCACGTTCAGTTAATGATCCCGTTAGGCCACGGACAGCTGTCCTACGGTTAAGTGATGAAAATCTAACTGGGAGTAGGTTCAGACACTCAATTTTTTCCACAGTTATAATTAACTTACAAACTTACTTAAATATTAAGTATATAAATCTAGAAAATTTTAATATCATATGTTTTGGTCAATTGTACTCACTTATCACCAGTAATTTATTTCATGTTGTGTCATATCACTTAACTATGTGTTAACAGTTATTTCTTTGCTATGGCTGATTTGTGAAGATTTTACTATTCTCACAGTCGAAGTCACGAACTGACTTTAGTTAGACCACTATTGAAGACCTGAAAGCACTGGATGACTGCTACGTCTTAATATGAAACTCCTCAGTAGTTCTCATTCATGATCCCACACAAAAGAATCTAACTCAATACCTTCTGTTTCGAGTCCTGATACGTAACCTCTAAACCACTAATCCGGCATCAAACGGTGTTGCTTTTTGACTTAAATTAATTATTTTGCCCAACTCTTCATTCACTGCCTGCTGTGGATAATTGTCTAGGTTTTCAATTGTGGTATAGCCAAGATCAGTCTGTGATCTCAACATTGAATGTACTGCAAATCACCCATGCTAATAATAGTCATGTGTTCGCTAGTGACCTCCTTCAAGATGTTACTCCTGAAGTTCTGGTGAGAAATTGTGACCAGTGGAGTTCAATCTGTGCCGGGGGTGAGATAGTTATCCACCCCAAGCAATGGATGATGGACTGCGCGCGATTATGAGTTGATCGAAGCTAGATATTTATTTCTTTAACAAAACGATATTATGGTGTATGCTAGTTATGTCGACTGACATAAGTTGTATTTAACATCAATCAGGAGTTGAATGCCTGGCAGCAGAAAGTTGAGAAGACCGAGCTGGGGGGGAAAGGGAATGTAAACAAAGAGTAATATGTAATCATAATGGAGTAACGACATAGTATGAAATAGTTGATGGAATATTTGCAAACGAAGTATTTAATGTATGGTTTTTCAGATTTAACGAAAGAACTCTGTAATTTCGTACTTAATAATAAATTGGTTGTCCCCACCTAATTGCTCGTTCGCTACAATATGATGGTTAGCTAAATTTCGAGTAATGGTGAAAGAATAATGTTAAAATGATCCAAATTTACAAAAGATATACTGTAAAAATGCTGGACTCTATTGAATCGAATAGAATAAGAGTTTATGTAATCTTAACATAAAGAAGGACAGAAGTAGAGTATAGAACAAAAACAATGATTTGGTTCATATTACATACATCTTATTCATTCATAATGCAAATGAGATGTAAGCAAACAAGTTTCAATAGATTAGGCTTGGTCATTCAGATGATATGTAAAGCGGTAAAATGATACAACATGATAACAGTATAGTTATGGATTCACTATCTAATAAATGAATCACCACGACTGCCGAATCATGTAAACACAACTTTACAACTGTTTAAATAGAAGTTGTTTAATAAAACGTTTTGTTCTTTGAAGTGTTTGCTTTTATTGGTTGTAAGAGCTATAACGAAAATCGTAGTTAGTTAACCAAACTAAGCGAAATGATTAAATAACATATGACTAATTTGTGTATTCAGATAACTAGTAATTGTAGATAGACGTAACCTTGTGTGTCATGTATAATGAACTAAGTTTATGTCGTAATAACTTCTCCCCATTCTGTATTTATGTCAATATACTTGTGATTATCGATAACTGGTTCTTTACCTAATATGCACCAATGTTACACTTGATTTGACGGTTGGATTAATCTTTCTGTGATCATGTAATCTGGAATGACTCCCGTTATAACAATAAAGCAAATACATCTTTAATAATTTTTTTATCATTTCAAATGTTATCTATAATTATTATTTTCCTCTGGTAGAACTAATCTTTAGTTATTCCTAAAATAAGCAAGATCAAATTACCTTTTTTACTGTACTGTCTAAATAACTTATACTATTTAACTATATTATCTTTAGCAAACACTCTGTTCATGACCAATATATAAGATATTCGTTTTAATGCTAAACTACTTCAGTACTAATTTTTTAAATAAACAACTCTCAGGTTCAACTATGAAATACGAGTCTACGATTCAGTAGATTTAAATAATATGGTAAACATTTTCAATTTTTTTAAATTGTATTTCTCAGTTAATAAAATACTGTCAGAGTGAACATCAACTCTGAGATGCAAGTATATCCAGCTGACGAGTCCCAAATAGGATGAAACGCACGTCCTGGATTCCACTGCTAGCAACTATCTATCTTTGCTTAGAATGCTTGTGAATTAAGGCTATATCAAGGCAATATGCATAGTATGTACATATGCTAATAACAGACTGATCAGTTGGCAGTCCTAAACATCAATCGGAAGATTCAAGTAAATAATACCAAGTGAACTGTCATCTGCGTATGTTATATCTATAAAACTATTACAGTTACAAATGATCATATTCATTTTCTATCTTGTAAACAATGTGTACTCAATTAAAAACTATTACAACTTTTTCTTTGTTTTATAATTTTAATTCCTTTTTTTTAAAAAAAATAGTTTCTTCTTCACCAAGACGAATGCAAAGATCTAATTCAAAAGTTGTACGATTTAGTGATCATCAAAATGATGAAACAATTGAATCAACTACAGAACCACAACAAATACAATCAAATAAATATATTAATATGCAAGCTAAAATTTTCACAAAACCAAATTCAGGTATAATTCCATTAGGTATGTATCAATATTCACTTGCAATAGGATCTAGTAAAAAATATAATAAAGAAGATAAGGTAATTAATAATTCAATTGTGTACTAATTTTATTTTCATTAGTATCCGCATATAATATTATTAGTTGTCTTATTATCAATTGATTTTATTTTTCAATTTATATCAACAATGAAAATTTCTATTTTAATATTCATTGTAGTATGTGTATTTTTATTAAGTAAAATGAACCATTGTTTTCTGTTATTTTGAAGCTTGATAGATCACTTTCAAACGATATTAAAGGCATCCTGTAGTATAATTGATTATAATAGTTGAATTCACTAATCGATCTAAGCTATACTGCCACCTCAGACAATGGATGAAGGGTTGCACGCTCACGTGTGGAACCGAAGGTCCTGAGTTCGAATGTGTAGGATCGTGTATGTGCACTGCTGAGGAGTCCCACACTAGGCCATCCAGCACTTTCAAATCTAGCGTTGATTAACTCGTGAATTCAACGGTTAACATACTACAACATCCACAAATCCCCATCCTGATATAATTGATTGAAATTTTAAGAAAGTTTCAAATCGGTTTAATTCTATTCTATATGAAGCTTATGGATCTCAGATCATATCTCATACACGTTTGGACTAAAATGCATATCCTTAGACAATTTATATTTGAATATGAAACTGACTCAACATGGACATCAAGAGAACAACTGTATGAAATACTAAGAAGGAATAGACAAAGTTAGTAATATAGAAAGTGTATGGGAAGTAAATGACTATTTTTATGGTTTTCTATTTGAAAAGTACTTTGTGAATGTGTTGAACTACTGAATCACATGATAACCGTTTGGTCAACTTTAAAAGTTAAGGTATGGAATTTGAAATGGAAAGTACTGGGTTGAAATCTCAGTAACTTTATAAATACGATTTCAATTAGATTAGGCTGACAAGTTACGTATGGGATGAAATACGCTCCAAAATCCTACTACTGTTCACTATTCAATATATAATAAACTTATTACCTGTATGCCAAGATGTTATTCGTTTTAGGATCATTTATCTAATATAGGAATCACATGACACATTTAAAAACAATAAAGCTCAATACACTCCATGGTAATTACTTTGAATTTCAATTATCATAGATAAAAATTATCAATATTGTTTTTAAGCGTATAGTATGTCAGATCAGTCCCAATGTTAAACTATACTGTATAGAATCCGTCCAAGTATTCTTATTGAATATTTCAGTTGTGTATGACTCATCAAGTGCTAAGACGAATTTCTCCCTAGAATACATAACTATTAATAAAAAGAAATATAAAGAATAAAAAGAAGAACAATGCAAAGAAATATTACTTCATTCTGCTTGTCATTCTTTGTTATAGCGAGGTAAACAGTATTGTTTGCAAATGCCTTAATAAAGCATCACAGATGCGAACAGTAACAAAATCCCCCTTTCAAATGATTTGATAAGAATTAAATTTAATGCATACTATAAATTAGGGGATATCACATAGCTGCATCAAACAGGTACTATCAATTAACAAGAACAAATCAAATACTTTATGTTCAAAAACTCTGCTCAATAACATATATGGTGTGAACTTAAGCTTCTGATATACATGCGAATTGTAATGAGTCCTAAAATCAAATATGATTGGTAATGACATGAACTATTGAATGTCAATAAGTAGGATGCACAAAAAAGCTGACTAAAGAGAACTGTGGTCAGTTAGTTCGAAAAACAGGTTTAACATTTTGAATTAACCAATCAACTGATATTTGAAAAAAACTTGACTGATAACTTTTTCAGAAAAGTTTATAAGTACATCTGGAACTATTTTTATTTAAACAACCCATTTCAGTTCATTGTTTTCCTTTATCTTTCTTCTTAGCTAATTTCTACTGATACATCTGGTTTACTTCATGAAAAAGGCACTGGATTTCATTTTCAGTCAAATCAATCAACTGAACAACCTTCAAATAATTTCAATGCCTTATCTCGTACGGAGTTGGAAGATAATATTTTATCACGTCTTGTTTTACAGATCTCTGATCAGTTAGCTAGAAATCAATCTCAAAGTCATGGTAAGATATTGATAGATGATTATCGAGGATTTCAAACATTCGATAAGAAATCTCGCTAGGGACTGATTTTTACCGAAAACTTATTGGATGGTTTTCTCACTATATTCCAATTGGGCTAAATTTTTAAAATGCAGAGCATGTGATTCTTATTAGGTAGCCAATTGAAATCATTCTTATCACAGGTCTTCAGTATTCTGAGTTCAATTTTTGTTCATCCAATGTTGAAATGTTCTGAATAAAGACGAAATAGTTCTTAGTAATTTTTCTGATTGGGTCGATGTGTAATAGAAGACCGTTGCCGATGAAGCGGTGTATTTGATATTTTCATGAAACAGTCGAGCATGGTAAAGTAATGATTCAATAGTTTAAACATCAAGTCGTTCGCTATGAAGTAGCAGATCCAAGCTATGCTCTGAGTGTTTAAGTTTCAATTTTTTTTATTTTCAAGAAATATTAATAAGCCTAAACCTACTACATTATTCTGCTCACTGAATATTTGTAAATGAAATCTAGATGAAAATTACTGAACAATAGGTCTTCCATCAGTTAATTTGGTGATAAATGTAGTCATTGTTTTTTTCTTAATATTAAAAAAAGTTTCATTAAGGGGTTTTAAAAACGGTTGACTTTCATTGAGACCATGAACTAACTTATGTAAGATCACTGTAGGGGCTCCTTAGCAATGCTCAATCACAGCCCCGTACACAGAAAAATGGTCACACAATGGCGTGGATTGATTGAAATTAAACACCAACATCATCGATTGCTGGCTATGTAGTTCAAAGGGTAAGCGTTCTCTGAAGGCTTTGAGTTCGACTTTCGGCTGCATAGTCGTTGACCCACATTCCTAAGAAGTCCCACACTAGAACGAAGCGGCCGTCTAGTGCATCCAGGTCTTCAGCTGTGACCTAACTTGGGTCGGTTCATGATTTCAAATAAACAACGTAAATTTATTGAATCACGTGGAACTTTTGTTTTGTTTTCTCAAACCTAGACACTTCATCCAAAGAAAATTTACAACATTTGGTTGAAACTGCACTATTAGAACGTATTGAATCGATGCTTTCTCCAGCATCAGTTAGCCCTAATCCAACTAATCAACTACTACGAACAGAACAGCAGCAACTTAAAACACCGTCTTCATCACCTGACCGGACTAGTCATTTAGGTCTACTGGATATTCCTACTCCGATGGATAGTATAAATAAGAGTGAATTACCTTATCCAGATGATCTTGTTCACACAAAGAGTAAAGTAAGTAACAATCATATATATATATATATATATATATATATATATATATATATATATATTCACGTTGTCTTTTCACAGAAGGATACATTTTCGTATTGTATGTTGGTCTATATTTTGTACTTGCCGTATAAATAATATTAAACTCTGTTTGTTTTTTATTCGTTCTTTTGATGATCAGACACCAGAACCAAAATCAAATTGGCAACCATACAATCCGGATGAAGAAAGTATTTTTAGAAATTCACGATCACCACCAAGTAATCCCCATCATATTTCTACACCTGAACCATCATTTGCAGATAATTTCAGTCTTCGATCCAAATTACGTTCTCAATCTTCAAGTCCTATAAAGTAAGTCAATAATTTATATTGTCTTCATTTCTTCTCTTAGTTGTGATCAGCTATATGTATTTAATTGCATTTTAGTTAAGATTCAGTGTCAGCAGAACATCCAGACATCCTATCTTCTTCTATGAATGGCCTTCACAGACCTGATCTAATACACACAACTATCATACCATAACGTATGCACCCATAATGATGTGAGATTAAAACTACCCGCTCATCACTTAAACTTGTCTCTGTAGTGATAGTGTGTTCATTGTTACCAGTAAGAGTAGTCAAATTTCAAATCAGTCATGTAAATTGGCTGCATAATCCCGAAAAATGTATAATATGAGACTTGGTTTGGTCGCCAGATATAATTGAAATGCATAATTTTTACAAATTTTCCACTGTCTTATTTATTAGTCGTTCAGATCAATGTCTCGAGAATGGTTGGTTTTCAAGAAAATCTTTTCTCTTTGTTTTCGATATTCGAAAAGTATTACAACTCTGACTGTGATAATGTATGGTGAAGTTGTTTTGCATATCCAAATTCAAAAAGTCTAATTAAAATCTTGTAAGTCACATCATGGATCTGTGGTGAACTAAGTATTTATCAGCCGCCATAATACATGTATGCCAATTACAATATCACAAACGAATTCGATGTATAGATAATTATTTCTTTACTTTATGTCGTTCTTTCTTAAAAATTTATTACGGAGTTCAACAAGAAGGTAGACTGTCTAAATTTGCAAATGGCACTTCATTATCATTTTGAAAACATACATTCATACCCTGTGCTCTCTGTTTAGGTTTGTCATTCATAACATTTTGATGTAAAAATCACTGTGAATTACTGCAAATAAACTCTATATAAAATGTCTCACGTATAATAGTAGGTACACAACTAAATCTCTCCATCGCGAGAGGCACATAGTAATTAGTCGACAATACGACGTAGATATTACTAAGATCTGAGAACGTTTCATTTCAGCATAAAAATTACATTTAATTAGTCAGTATTATCACAGAGATTTTCAAAAACAAACAATAGCATCGGATTAGAATGGTGATGAAATTATATTTTATCGCTTGCATATGCACATTAACGTGGATTTGTCATAAAAGAAGTTACATTTGACTCTGTTCTCATTTATACAGTTTCTTTTCATTCCTTAAATGTTTGTTATCTCGGTTAATCGGATCCGTTTCCTGGTACCTCGAATGACTAAATGTTTTGTTTTTTTATTAAGATTACTTATGATACACTCAGTAGCTTATACTGACATGACCGATAGAATATTTATTCAATTGTTGAGATACTTTGCACTGATTAAATATATCCGTTTTATTTTAATAAATAGACAAAAATCCGTTATGATTTCACCATTCCCATCAAGTCCACAAAAATATCCATCTGAAAAAAATGTTTCTGAGAAATCAACTGAATTTAATTCACAATCACTGAATTCTAATTCAACTGCTTTAATTGATACAAAAAGCTCATCATTTACTGAACAATTCAGTCTCACTGCACCAGATACATTCAGTGATGGAATGTGGTTATTAGATCGTTCCGAAGGTGAAGCACCATATCCAGTGTCATATAATAAATTGAAATTAATTATGTCTAAAATGGAACCTATTCGAAGTTCAACAACGAGAAGAAATGTAAGTCATTCTATATCAATAAATACTCAAAAAGTGATTTGTATTACTAAATCCTACAGAAATGACAATAACTTCAGTGATAATAAGCTAAATACAAAGATGAAATACATTTAATTTAAATTATATTCGTGATTTATAGATGCTTCATCTGAGTTACAGCTTGATTTGATATATTATGATATATTATATTGAAATGACTGATTATGAAATACATTTCACAACGTTCCAATGGAAAGCCGTGATTTGTTGAGTTAACCAAGTGTTAGGTGGCTAAAGGTAGCCTCCAAGATACCCTGGACCTAGGTTTCGCGCTGGTTGGCACGCGTCAGAAGTACCTATGACCTTGAGGAAACTGAGGCTCATCATCGGATTCTATGCGAGTTCGATTGATCACCAGTCACTACTCAATGATCAATAAATCTCAATATATCTCAAACCTGGAGAAGATGGGTCAAAACCCAGTAGTAGCATCTCAGAATGTGAAGCTAAGTGACATGAGTTCGAATCCCATAGAGGTTACCGTCTTTCGAATGATTTCGAGCACTCCTTACATATTAATACCACCCATCACGAAACCTGAGTCCAGCGTTTCCTTTTCACTCTCTTCAAACAACTAACATCAAAACATACATCACACTGTATCTTCCACTGGTCTATAACAGGCTATCTGTTGACATAATCTCCCAACCTGATAGCATGTTATTTAATTTAAAACAACAAGTTTTCTTTCACAAAAGTTTACCGATTTATAAACCGTTCGGCATACACATTTATTCCTCAGTTGTAAACCACTGATGCTTCACGTTTAACACATCGCCAATCTGTATTCGGAGGTTAAATATTATGCTGAGAAGTTCGCTAGTCAAAACTTTTTATAATCACAACTAGGACCGAGTGTAAAAAACAGAGAGTTGACCAGTTAACGAAATAAAGTCATAATATAAAGGACAGCTAGTTGTCTTGAACTGATATCTATCGGTCTATCACAATTCCTTGGTTTGGATCACTGGCTTTAGATAATATCAGACTTGTGCTAGAATAAATATCACTGGCAATCCTGTTGTATTTCTCATTTATATTCCTCATATAATAGAAATTAGCTACCTAAACTGACAGAAATCTTTCCTAAATTCATTTTTTAACTAAACTATATCTTTCATCAAATACTATCTTAATACTGATGTGTTCATGGATTGTACAACCTTTCCGTGATCATTTTTCTGCCCATTATTATTTTTTTTCCACAATCTCTTTGTATCAAGATGTTTGTACTATCAGAAATAAATCATTATAACAATAACTTAATAATTCATTAAAACTTATTACAATTGTTTCTTTTTCTTTCATTTTACTTTCAACAGAATTCTTTAACTCAAACATTTAGTTTATCTAAAAGTACTTCAAATTCTTCACACAGTTCTTCATCCGATAATACTAAACAATTAAAACAAGATGAAATTAGTCCAGGACAATTACCAAATGTATTAACTACTAAACAACACTATTCAAATGATAAACAAATGAATCCACTTAACAATCCATTACTTCATTTATTAGCATTAAAAAATTCGAATCAAATTAAAAGAAATCAACTGTCACATTATGAACAGGATGAAATGAATAAACTATTAAATCAATTAAAACAAATTCGTCAATATTCTAATAATAATAATAATAATACTATTATTCATTCACCTAGTCTTGAATGGTTAGCCAATCTTTCTGGTAGTCCATTACCACAATCGAATTTAAATCAATTAAAAAATGTTAAACATTGTAAATCTAATATGAATTTAGTAAATTCACCTATTAATAAATTGAAAATTGAATCATCTACATCAATAGATGATAAATTAAGACAATCAATAAAACAAGATCATTCAAATAGATCAAGTAAGTTTTAAGTGGAATATTTACTGAATTTTAATCTTCTCAATAGAACAATAAGAAGATGAAGTTGATTGTTCTAACGAAATTTAGAAAAAAAGATTAATAATTGTTTGAATTATTTGAAAATTTTACATTTTACTTCATATCAGATGGGTTTTATGGATATTATAGTAATTTTAATGATTAAGATCATGAGTCAGTTGAAGCTAGACCACCAGGGAAAACCTGAAAGCACTGGTCGGCCGTTTCTTCCTATTGTGGGACTCCTCAGCAGTGCGTATCATGATCTTAATCATTGAAATTACTATAATATCCAAAAAAACCATCTGATATTAATCAAAACATGCTCACTAGTGAATGGCTTGACGAGGTATATCCTGAAGTTCTTGTGAGAAGTAGTGACCAGTGGAGTTCAACGAGATCTGTTGTGAGATAGTAACTCACTAAATACAATGGTCGATATGTCGCTCAATTTCGTGGATCAGTTGAAGTTAGACATTAAAACCATTGGATGCCGGCTCAGTGGTCTAGTAGTTAAGTGCTCACGCGCGAAGCCAGTAGGTTCTGGGTTCGAATCTCGCAGGGGGCGAAGTCGTGGATGTGCACTGCTGAGGAGTCCCACAATAGGACGAAACGGCCGTCCAGTGCTTCCAGGTTTTCCATCGTGGTCTAGCTTCAGCTGACTCATGATCTTAATAATTGATTTTACTTCATAGACAAATTACTTTATACTTTGCACAGTTCCTCATCATAATGCTAATAATAATAATAATAACACTGGTGGTGGTAAATCACAATAACTCCTATAGAAACCTGCTATAGATAATATATTTAAAGGAAGCTATATTTGTAAAAATCTTAGTGACTAAGATTAAAAATTAATCTAACGTTCCTCTTCGATCATCTGGTTCGATCTTCAGAGAAATAATCAAAAATTAAAATTATCAACTATAAAAAGAGTTCACAAAACAACTGCATTTTCAGTACAGGATTGTGAAGATTGTTGAGTTTTTAATTGGTATCATGAACTGATCAATGATAGACCATCACTGAAAATCTGGAAGCACTGGATGGCCATTTCGCCTTAGTATGGGACTTTCTAGCAGTGCGCATCCATGGTTCCGCACGTGAGACTCGAGCCCAGGTCATTTGGTATCGCGCGCTAACGCCTAACCTCTAAACAACTCAGCCGACGCTTAACGGTGCCAATGTCTAACTTTATAACGGAGGAGGACGGTCGCGCAATATCTTGGATTGGTTGGAGTTACTCAACATGAACTGATAAATTTACTGAAAAGATATTTCGATAATGCAATGAGAAGACGAAGCTTATCAAAATGATGTGATATATTTGGCAATACACTTCGAAAATTTTGATCACACATATACTTCTTAAGACATTTGTATATGAAAATTAAAAGGTCAACTAGACAGGTTAAAGGTAAGTCGTAACAAAGAAAAATAAAGTACACAAAAACAATGTGATAGCCACCACGGATAATAACTCAGTATTACCAGGGTAGGCTAAGGGTATGAACAAATTTTTCTTGATCACATGAAGGGGGTTTCAGTTCCCGTATATCCAAGGCTTAAATGAACCTTAGTGCACGTTCTTGAAGGCTTTTGTGCAAATCTACAAAGGCTGAATGCTATAAATACAATAGGAAAATGTTTTTATGAATATTTCCAAACAGATTCTGTCTGGATACATTCAATCATAAATATCTAAAAGATTTTTATTAGGGATTAAAATTCGAAATAGGATTCTTTGTATAAAACAAATTCAGTATCCTTTTTTTGAAAAAGAGGAACTGTTAACAGACTCAATTAAGAATTTGATTAAAAGTTTTTTCAAAACATGATATTGCTTACCCAATTGTCTCTCTACTTTTGACTACCAAACCTATATTACTTATGTGAATAAATAAAATGAATCAATTCACACAATATTCTTCAATCATCGTTTTTTTTTCTTTCTTTCCATTGATTTATTATTAATCAATTCATTTTAGATCATTCTACACATGATAGTTCGAAAATTTCGATGTTACGTCAAGTGGAACTTGTTCATTCAGATGACAGTGAAGCGACAACAATTGATGATGAGACTTATGAAGATGATTTTACTGGTGAACAAACTAATTAAAATAAGTATTTAAGGGTGAATACTTTTCAATAAAATGATCAAGTTTGGTTGAGTGTTTCCATGTATGAAAATATGATTTTGATGAATATCATGATGATATGTTTATTACAAAAGATGTTTTCTTTTGAAGATTTCTGTGATTTCACTTACAAAAAATCATAAAATTAATTATAATTTATATATTTCTGTTATGTTTTATTTTCATTTCGTTCCAGTTAATTGAAAAAATTTTGAAATCATGAAAACACTATTTCATCCTATTGTTTACAATCAATTCCATACAAGCTCATAGTGAATATATATTATTTGTAAGGTTTGGTATTTTCATATTGTTAATGTTACAGATTTGAACGTCAGTAATAAGATCTACGTATATTCGTCTGATGAGTCCCGATTGGGATAAGATGCACGTCCTAGATACCAATGCTGGGCATTATTCAAATCCGCTTAGAAATGCTTGTGACTTCATCGTAATATCCAAACAATCCAAAAGGAAGCACATATGCCGAAAGAGACTGATCGATTGCAGCTTTTAATGATAATAGTAATAATAACAACAACAAGATGATCTAAATGACTTTTACGAATATCTTTTAAGCAGAGTTGGATGACGGCTAGCAGTGGGGTTCAGGACGCGTGTTCCATCCTACTTAAGAGTTTACAGCTGGATGTTCTTGCATTCCATAGTTAGAGATTGAGATCCAAAACCTTTCGCCACCATAAAACTGCTGAAAAAATGCTTATGACTTTACGGTAATATCGAGGGTATGTATTGACTAAAAGAGCTTGATCAATTGCGATCCCAAAGATTAATGGAAAGAGTCAAACGACTAATACCACGAATTAACCCCTACAAATGTATTACATTATTTAAATCCTCTATTAAACAGCTATTATCACTAAAACGTCCGTTATATCCACAGGTTGCGTTACATATTACAACTTCAGGATACCAATCTTTAAGAATGTCAATTATGTGTATCAAATGATTTTTATTACGATCACATGTAATGTTAAGTAAAATAAATCAGTGGTACAGGCCAAAATCGGTTTTAGAATTTAGTCCAGCACAAAAATATTGTCTTCGATACCATAAATAAATAAGAAAAACGTACGCTTTATTGATGAATCCCAGAATTTATATACTTACGCTTTTCGAACTTACATCTGCACATGCTAAAGACACTAAGTTTGACAAAATTTATTCGGTACGAATAAAGAGGGAAAAAAAATCAGAAACTACAATGTCGAAGATCGAATGGTAAGATATTTCGTACTAACGCTTTTTTTAAGAATCTTTTTGATCACAGAAATTACTTGAAGCACATATTAGAAGCCTTGAACCCAAGTATCATGTAAGTTGGCGCACATCAATAGCACATGTCCGCTATCTTGTGTTAAATAACACTATCTGTAGCACGTAATCGAAGCTGGATGGGTTGGTCGTGGAGCTTCACGACCAACCCATCCAGCTCAGAGAACAAAACTCCACCAAAACCATCTACCTGAGCTACAAATCTTCTTCACCACCTAATCGAAGCCTATGATCTTAAAATGTTAACGGTAATTGATCGCTGCATTCCAGCTCTTGTTTTCTAACAGGTTCAGTTTTAAGCTTGATTACGATAACACCTTCCACAAACATATATTACTCAATCTCTGTGAGTAATTGATATTATACTTTAGCTTAGTATTTCTGATTGCATTTTGACATAAGGGATATTTGTTTCAACTCATCAAGAATTATCTGAGCAGCAACAAAACTGAATCATCTGACCAATCCTTACCGTGTTTTCCGAATAATTTAAGATCAGTGTCGTGCAGTCAGTACATTGCTTAACAGAAAATATCAAGTAGGAAATTGTTAATATATTACTTTTATAGCGTTTGGATCAATAGTATGTCTTTAGGAGATTCTGGTAATCCTTCGCTTGTTTCGTAGATTTTCATTAAAATTAACTTTGTTTCATGGTGTTTGACTTCTAAACCTTTACTGTGTCACTTCACTACACCTCAGTAATAACAAAGTTACTCTCTACAACCTTAAAGTTATCCATCAAGTGAACTGCTGACTTAGGATAGTTTCAAATTATTTATTTATTTTACATGTACTGTTTATTTTTGTCTTTTCAACCCGTTTAACCTTATCAGATACATTTTTAGCATTCAAAATTATACTATTTGGTTATTCATCAATGTTCAGTGTTGCTTCATTTGAACATGTAAAACATATATATAATGAGTGACTAATATCTATTATATATATATATATATATATATATATATATATATATATATATATATATATATATATATATATATATATATATATATAATAGTTCCTACACTCATACATCAGTTGAATACTATCGCAATGTAACCTTAAATTGCAAATCTATAACATTCGAAAACAACCTACAACAAGAACTCATAATATGACATTCGCTTCATTTTTACCATTCATTCATATTTCACAATTACATTAAACTCATGTGAATCAAATCAATTCTCACATATGTTGTAGGTAGCACACATAAATATGTGCTTTTGAACCAATCACATTGTTAATTTTAATACTCCTGATAGAAAATCCGAGATGGGTAATATAATGCAAAATCAATCGATCATAATAATGCATTCATTCTTTGTTCTTTAAATGTCAATTTTAATGTCATTGTTAGCTGTTCATCCTTCTGACTCACCTTTTTATACTTAATTCTATTTTTTATGTTTAAATTTTCATATATTTCGACATTGATTCTCATCATGTGCTTCTAATCCTATTGACTTCTACATTACATGATACACAAAAAAACTGTTCGATAAACACAATTCGCGTACATAACGTGTAAGATCCATTTATAGTCAAAAAACGGATTTCTCGCACACCTGAGATGACTAATTTTTACAGCGAGTACAAAGCGACTCAATAGTAATCTGTACACTCAACTATCATCAACAATAAACGAAACTATTTTAAACACTAATCGAGCAATAAGGGGTTGTGGAGATTGTTGAATTTCATTAAATCATAAACCAGTCCAAGTCCACCATTAAGAACCTGGAAGCCGTGACGAGTGGAATTCAACTGCTTCGTGTGCGAAGCATCTACTCACCAGAGACAATGAGCGATGGTCGCGCAATATCGTGGATTGATTGAAGTTAGACATTGACAACGTTGGATCGCTAAGTGGTCGGGGGAAGACTGAAGATCAGGGATTCAAGTCCCACGTGTGGGGTCGTGGACGCGCACTGCTGACGAGACCCATACTAAGACGAAATGGTCATCCATTGTCTCCAGGTTTTAAATAGTAGTCTAACTTTAGTTGGCTCATGATTTAAATCAAACTAATAGAGCAATTTGTACGAAAGAAATTTTGTTAGTTTATTTGTAATGGCTTGGCAGCCAGTCTTTCATAAACAAGCTAAACCGTACTGTCAACTATCTTAAAATAAATGTGTTAATATTTTACCAAAAAAATAATCCATTCAAAACTAATAATAATATGAGTGTTATTTACTAAGTCTGTAAACGTCAGTTTCAGTAATTTTCTTGATTCAGTACTACTATTATTACATTCATAAAAAACGGTAATCACACTAAAATGAGAAATGCTATAAAATAAGTAAGCTGAGAAGATATTAGAAGAAACATACTTTCAAATATCATGAACCTTGAGAAGACAATCAGACAACCTGGTAGTTTCTGGGATTCTTTAAAAGTCAAACGTTAGTGCTGACATTTTGTTCAATTTCCAAGTAAAATAACATTAGTAATGAAAGATAGCGGTGAATAACAATTAATATGACGAGCTATTTCAATATGAAAGTGTTTTTCAATTACGTATTTCATAAATGGATTTTGCTTATTTACAGCTTACAAGTGATTCTAAGACCTACATCATGACTGGTTAAATGGAGTTTATGGTGGTTCCCAGCAAAAGGAGCTTATACAAGATATATCGATACACTAGGTCAATAATAATATACCAAGAGAGTTAACAGTAAAAACCCTAGGCGTCTGTCTGAGAGTAAAACCAAGGGTAACAAAATACAGTTAGGATACAAATGGTATATTAAACAAACAGATAAGTTATTATGGAATGAATGTTACTTGTAAGCTGCCTCGTGAGATAACAACCACAAAGGAGTTCACTTGATTGACGAAGATTCCTTTGCAAGTGATTGAACCAACAGCGTGATGAGAAAGACAGAGTCCAATAGTATTATATAATAATAATCCGTGCCAAAAGTTCAACGTAGTGTCGGAAGGCCCAAAAGGATGTTATAACATTATTATAGTCTTCAATCAAAGACCGTGGCCAATAAAGCAGAAGAACATACGGCGTAGGTAGCGTTTTATATTTCAAGCAACGCGGTAGTAGTACCGTATACTAATCATCAAAACAATTATCATCGTCTTTAAACAAGTGATACAGAAAAACGACAGATATTGAATAAAAAGTAGTTAGATATAAGGTGTGACAAATTAGAGAAAAAATGCGGTTTTTATTTTGTCTTTACAAAAATCACTGAATATACGTCACCATAAGTTCATTAGTTTGTGCTTGTATAACATGCACTAAGTTTTGCCTCCAATTTTCAATCCTGTTTGGATTCAAGTACTTATAACCATCCCAGAAAAATAGTTATAAGCTGATTATTAAGTCGTGAGCAGATAAACTGAATTCCTTGAATATAATAACTTTAAGTATTCTCCATTCGTCGTAATATTTTGGAGATTTCTTTAAGGCTTTCAAGATTACATTACACCAGAGCAGTGAAATTTTCTGTCTCCAACAAAGTTTAGATTCGATATTTATTTTTACATAATGTTTGAAAAGACTATCATAACTTACCAGAAGACAGAAACATAAGTCAACATCTTTTTTCTTTAGAACCATGCCAATGAAACATGTAGTAAATCAGTCCGTCATCAAAGAACTCAAAAGAGATTTCTCGAAAACTACTGAATAAATGTTGAAAAATAGGTACTTATCATCCTCAACGGTGTGTAGTTGGCTTTCATACTTTTAACGATAGAGTTATGAGTTGAAAATACATCAAAAGCTTTCTGGATAACAGAACTTAAGGAGATATATTTCATTGAAATAATATAGGCGGAAAGCGAATACTTTGAAGATAAAACAAGCTGAAATGGGCTAAAATACCGCAAAGATCATATAACTTTAGGGTCAATGGAGGGTTGTAACTGCCATCTATCAAAATACTGAACATATAATGCAAAATACTACTAACATGCATTGTGTAGATCAAGGAAAGTAAGTATTAAAATGACTTCTTTTTATTCAAATTAATTCATTTAGTGCTAAGTTAAACACCCTGGAATAAATTTTCAATCATTTGTGTTTGGGATCCATACACATTCAAACAACCATTGTAAAACTTTGAAAGGAGACTAATTTAAATTATTTGAAAACGAGTGTAGATTCAGACCACCC